ATATAATATTATATGAAACTTTTTTCCCCTCTCATTAAAAAATATATATTTCTGAAATTAGTTCATTTTGATCAAAAATAAAACAAAAAACACGTAAGTCACCGTTATCTCTTCATATATTTTCAATTAGATGAAAAACAGAATGGTATCAGGAAACTTTACTGATACTGCTTGTTTACTGTTTGCTTGACAATCTTTAGCTGCATCCAGGCACCAAGAACCAATCATTGTAGAAGCAGGAGCATCCATTACATCCTTTTACTCATGTAATGGATCAACAAAGAAGGTGTGCATGGACCTATTTCACAAAGCAGGTTTTCTGAAAACTAACATTTTTTTAAGCCTGAAATCGGGGAGCCCTTTGAGGTTATTGGTTCACAAAGAGATTTTACTCAACCTTTGTTTCTGATGCCGTGGTAACATTCTCCCCAGAGCCAACCTTGTCGGCAGCAGGTTTTGTTTAGTAAACTCAGTGTCCTTTGTCTCCGCTATCCTTGAAGCCAATAATATTGTTTTATTTCCTAATTTCTAATGTTGCACAAAATATAAAAAATAATTCACTAGGTCTGTTAGACACATTAGGTTTTCAAAAGAAACATTGCATGTCCTTTTGATAGACTTAGACAAATTTTATTGTTATTTTGTATACAAAGAATGTATGCAATGGAATTTTGTTTTGTAAAGCTTTCATGACATTTCCATTTTTTTAAGTGCAGCAGTAATCAAAGGTTAACAGTGTGGGAGAAAAAACATGGTGCAAAAATGTGCATTTAGAGCATTAAATATCTATGGTGTAATTTTGCAGTGTTTTGGTTTGATGATATCAATGTGATGCAGAGACTGTGACATGATTTAGAGTTTTCTCAACAGCTTAGCTGTTGATGAGGATCTTATTAAAGGATGAGAAGCATTAATTCACAGAGAATTAAATGTTTATAGTGAGAGGGTTCTCAGACCGTATACCTTTCATGTTTAGAGCATAAAGTTAATGAGTTCTACAGTTTTGCTTTACAATCCATCACATACATCCACAACCTTATCTCTCCTCTTTTTTGCATCATTACACAGACTGCTTTAAAAGGTAATTAACAGAACTTGATATCAATGAGAGTAAATTGATGCAGCCATGAATTATTTACTACTTAATGTAAGAGAATGAACATCAGTAGGTACCCCATGGAATGATGCACTGGTCCTGCCTGTTGAACAATGTTTTCATACTTCATCTTTACCTGCTGACAGCTGAACTTCTCCACTATGAGATTGCACTGAAATGGAATACATTAATCTACTACCATTCAACCAGTAAACCTGTTTTCTCCCATATGGTTAATATAATAACAATAGGCTATGGCAGGCCATTTTGATATTTATTAGTTTGTATTTCTGATATCTTAAATACATTTCTTCCTAGGCAAAATAAACATTTCAAACTCAATTACTTTCTTCATATTTAAAATAAACATTCTGGATGTCTAGAAATGAATTTCAGATATCCGTATTCCTATTGTTAATGGTCATAATTGGTATTATTTTGATCAGGAAGAAATGTATTTCAGACATTATAAATACATATTTAATCAAGTTGATGAATGTAAAAACTACCACTTGAAATGTGTAACAGGTATAAAAGACTTCATTCTTACTAATGCAATTTTGTTTGCTTTCTGAAAGTCAGTTACTGCTGCAAATTTTATTTAGAAAATCTGTTGCTGTAGCGCAGATGCACGTTGTTTTAAACACTTTTTTTTTTATTTCTTCACTAAAATCTCAAGTTCCAACAATGTAAAATAGGCACTTCCTGTTGCCCGTTGTCATGGTGACTCTTTTAATTGGTGCTCCGCTGTTAATGGCTTTTCATACTCAAATGCTAAACTCTGAGTAGATCTACTAGAAGTTGATTAAACTAACTCACCGCAGCCTTTCTGAAACCAAAAATTTAAGTTTCCAACCTATTTAGATTAGATCAATTTAGAGTTGAGGATTTAAGACTGAGTTTGTTAAACCTGCTTTGTGAAACGGGCCTCTGATCAGTGATTTGTGCTCTATTTGCAGGTAAAAGTAGAAATCGTGTGAGCTGATGAGAATTCATCAGCATGGATCAACGTGAGGATGGAAGAGAAGGTGTTTATCCTTCTAAAACCACTCTGTTTGTGGAGGAGGACAGACAAAACAACCCTCAAAGGTTAGACTATAATCTAACAGTTTTTGGATATATTGTTAATAAAAAAAAACTATCCTGCCCTTATTATATTCAAAATGTTGATAAACCTTAGATCTTAATATGTGTGAAGGTAAATGGCAGCGATAGGGTTAGCAGGAGACAGATGATCTATTGTCAAGGAGAGAAAGACGGTGATTTCGCGTTCTGAAGATCAAAAAAATACGTGAAGGTTTTCTTTATCAAACAAAGTAGGGGGCTGATTTTCAAAAGGTTTGAGCATCATAAAACATATTCAAACATGTTTAAAGGTCTGCCTGCTGAATTGCAAGGTAAATCTCTTTCTGATGATCGGGCCCTAAGTCTTTTAAATATAGGTAAAATCCCAAAGGTTTCCTGTCTACAGTCAAAATTGAAAGATAGTGTATACAGTATAAGTTGATATTTCGATTTTGTGTTTGAAATACTACTTTCATGTTTTATAGAAATGTAACTTTATTAACATATCTTTGTTCCTTTATTTTATCAGGGTTAATCAGACAGTAAAACCTGACCCTGAAGATGCCCCTGAAGATGAAGCTGAACCTAAACCTGAACAGGGTTCCAGAAATGCCCCCGCACTTAGTGTCAAATCAAATCACATATATGTAGACTTTAAATCAGAGAGTCCTTCTCCATCAGACAGGTAAGCTGTGTTTTTAACTGTTATTCCTCTCTTAGCAGAACTGGTCTATATGTGGCCCACATACAAGGTAGACTAGAAGGATGCAGACTGGTAAAACCAACATGAGTTTTCAGTACTTGCACCAAACTGTCCTACTCTTGTTAGAGATCAATGCACTGACAGTCTGTTTGATTATAAATCCCAAAATTTCAGCAAAAGTAAAGATTAATAAAATTAGTCTAATTTATTTTATCTACTCTGAAGTTTCAGCCCAGAGATTAAAAACATATCTGTGCCTGTCAGGTTTTGTGGAGTCTTTGTGGACCCAAATGCAGAGGAGTAGGCACAGATGAGTTTTTGACGATTTAATGAAAGCTCAAGGGGAACCGAGACAAAAAGAAAGAGTATCTTCACCTGTGTAAGCTACCCCGGTTCTCCACAAAGATCCTCTCTGAAAGAGATGCATAACTCACATTCACTCACACACAGGAACTCTGACAGTGCCGTTTTGAATGTCATGGATTTCACAGCAAAATCAGTAACTGTTGCAATCAAAAACACTGTAATAGAAGTTCAAGATGTGGGCATTCACCTATATCTAAATGACCATGTAAACCTCAGAACATGAAATATGCATACACTAGTTTGACCCCTGTTGATATTTGCAATATCCATTCTAACTCTTATTTTTTAGCTTTTCTTTTCTTATTGTTTGCGAACATCCTTATTTTCACAGCAATGTAAATGATGTTCTGATTTTAACATTCCTTTTGGATCTCACGCAAAAATGTAGAATCAGAAACCAAAAAGTACTTTATAGGGTTAATGAACTGCTTTGTAATACTTGTTTTTTAACTGTTTATTTGTATGAGGAAGATAATTACGTATGAATAAACACCAACACTACAAGGTGTATATCCTTCACTGATGTGCCAATCACATCCCCAGATGTGCCTAAAATTATAAAGAGACTAAAACAGCATAACATGGTTTCTGACTGTTGTTTGTACTTATATGCCAAACAGCAGTTTGGATTACCCCCACTTTTTGGAGCCCTTAGGGGGGTTACTGGTGACGCCCTACCTGGAGCCTCCCTTGTTCTTCTGGAGGAATTTGACGCTCATATGGGCAATGACAGTTAGACCTGGGGGGGCGTGGTTGGGAGGAATGGCCAACATGATCTGAACTCTAGTGGTGTTCTGTTTTTGGACATCTGTGCTCATCATGGATTGTCCATAACAAAAACCATGTTCAAGCATAAGGGTGTCCATATGTGCTCTTGGCAACAGGACACCCTAGGCTGTAGTTACATTTTTGGCTTTTTTGGTATTTCATATGACCTGAGGTTGCATATCTTGGCCACTCGGGTGAAGAGAGGGGCGGAGCTCTCCATCGACCACTACTTAGTGGTGAGCTGGCTTCGATGGTGGACAAGGATGCCAGTCAGGTGAGGGTTTGCTGGGAACGTCTGGCAGAGTCCCCCATGAAATGGACTTTGAACTCCCACCTCCGGGGGAGCTCTGAACACGTCCCGAAGGAGGTAGGGGACATTGAATCTGAGTGGAACATGTTCCATACCTCTATTGTTGAGGCAGCTAGTCGGAGCTGTGGCCTCAAGGTTGTCAGCTCATGTTGTGGCAAAAACCCTTGAACACGTTTGTGACCACCAGCGGTGAGTCCTATCGGTCTTTTTTGGCCTGTGGGACTCCAGAAGCAACTGATGTGTACCATCAGTCTAAGCGGCAGGTGGCTCAGCTGGTCACTGAGGCAAGAACTCTGATGGGGGAAGAGTTCAGAGAGGCCATGGAGAAAGATTTCCATATGGCTTTGAAGAGATTTTGGCCCACTACCCGGCATCTCAGAAAGAGAAGTGGTGCAGTACCAACACTGTTTATAGTGGGGGTGGTGTGCTGCAGACCTTGACTCAGGGTGTTGTGTGTCTGTCTGCGGAATACTTATAAGACCTCTTTAATCCCAACAACACGTAGGATTTATTCATGCGTAATTTGTCCATTGAGGAAGCAGAGCCTGGAGATTCTGGGTCGGGTTCTACCATCCCTTGTGCTGAAGTCACCAAGGTGGTTAAAAAGCTCCTTGGTGGCCCCCAAGGGTGTATAAGTTTTGTGCTGAGTACCTTAAGGCTTTGGATGTAGTGGGGCTGTGTTGGTTAATGCAACTCTGCAACATTGCGTGGACATTTGGGGCAGTTCCCCTTGATTGGCAGATTGGGGTGGTAAACCCCTTATTTACAAAGCGGGACCGAATGGTGTGTTCCAACTAGTAAGTGTGTACCAGGAAGTTGGACTCGTTTCCAGTGAGAATTGGAATCTGCCAGGGTTGCCCTTTGTCAGCGATTCTGTTCATAACTTTTATGGAACTAATTTCTAGGTACAGCCATGGTGTTGAGGGGATCCATTTTGGTGGCCTAAGGGTCGCATCTCTGTTATTCATTTATGACGTGGTTCTATTAACTTCATCAGGGCTTGATATATAGCTCTCGCTGGAGCGGTTCGCAGCCAAGTGTGAAGCGGCTGGGATGAGGATCAGTGCCTCCAAATCCAAGACCATAGTCTTGAGCCAGAACAGGGTAGGGTGCCTTCTCCAGGTTGGGGAAGATGTACTGCCCCTATTGAAGGAGCTTAAGTAACTTGGGGCCTTGCTCACGAATAAGGGGCAGATGGAGCGGAAGATCGACTGGTGGATTGGTGCGGTATCTGCTGTGAAGCTGGCACTGCACTGGTTTGTTTTGGAAAAGAGAGAGCTGAGCCAACAGCCAAAGCTCTCGATTTACTGGTCGATCTACATTCCTGCCCTCATGTATAGTCATGTATAGTCATGAGCTTTGGGTCATGACCGAAAGAACAAGATCCCGGATACAAAGGGCTGAAATTAGTTTTCTCCGTAGTGTGTCTGGGCTCCCCCTTTGAGATAGGGTGAGGAGTTCAGTCATCTGTGGAGGACTCAGAGTAGATCTGCTGTTCCTCCACAACAAGAGGAGCCAGTTGAGGTGGCTCGGGCATCTGTGTAGGATGCCTCCTGGACTTCTCCCTGGTGAGGTGTTCCGGGCACGTCCCGCCAGGAGGAGACCCAGAGGGAGACCCAGGACATACTGGAGGGACTACATTTCTCAGCTGGCCTGGAAACTCCTTAGGGTTCCCCCGGAGGAGCTCCCCCAATTGGCTAGGGAGAGGGACATCTGGGCCTCCCTACTGAAGCTACTACCACCTTGACCAGACCCTGGATTAGCGGAAGAAGATGGATGGATAGATAAAACAGCACAGCAAGACAAAATATCATACATTGTAGATATCTTGAATTCCCTTTTAAATAAACCACAATGAAATAAAAGAACTGTCTTCATTTCACCTGTGACAACAATTGTAAATCGGTAGAACTTTGTCTCTCACCTGTACTATTAGTATACTGAAGTGGTATATGTTTTAATTTGTCCCTTTGTCCAAGATACCAAGGGTTTGGGTGTGTTATTGTGATCTAACTCTTTATGGTTCCTCTAAAGTGTGGACCAGCAGAATGCAGATGTTCCCAGCAATCAGTCTTCAGTGGAAGATCAAAAACAGCTAGAATCAATATTTAAGGTTAGTATATGTGCTACTAGTTTTACTGTGATTCTGGTTATATTAAAGCTACACTGTGTAACCTTTGACCAAAGTATCAGCTTAATCTGAGCATAACATGTGACACTTTGCATTTATCAATATTCCATGTGGGCTGTCCTTCTTACAAATTAATCTGTGTAACTTGGAAGGGTCACATCCATCACTGAACGAGTCATTTGACCCAGAATGTTTCTTTATGGCAGTCTTAGAAACTGGAAAAACAAGAGCTTACTAAGCTAAATGTATTTTTTAGGCAGTAACACAGAAATTACATTTACTTGTTAAAAAATGCTTTAGTTTTCTGTTGTAGGATTTTATCTGAAAGGGTGAATATGGCCTTGTGTTTACAACTAACTTCATTACTTCCCTGTGTGCTGGTCCAAAGTGGTCTGCTATAAGATTAAAGAGCAAATAGGGAGTGTTGCTTTAAAATGAATAGTGTTGCTTTAAACTAAAGGCTTTATATTAACTAAGATTTAAAGCCTTTTGAGTTAATATCCTGTGTTTTACTTAATGATTCCAGTCTAATGTGTTATTCTCGTGAATTTCTGTTACAGCAACTGGAGGAAACCATTTTTACTTTTGAGAAGAATGAGCTGAAAAATTTCCAAAAGGTTCTAAGCCCAGGTAACACAAAATGCTCAAAGGATCAAAGGGAGGATGAGAACATGCAGTGCCTTGATTATGAAGAGCAAATGAAAAGCAGAGAAGCACTACTTAACATAACCTTTACTTTCATGAAGAAGATGAATCAGGGGGACCTTGCAGACAATCTGCAGAGAAGTAAGAGGATTTTCTTAAGATTAATCATACCAAGAAAATGACAGATTTTCTCATGTGGTCTCAAATATGACTGACTTTTGGTATCTGATTTCATTTACTTTAGAACTTTCTGGTACAATTTTTCAACGCAAACTTAAATCTTCTTTGAAGAAGAGGTTCCAGTGTGTATTTGAGGGGATTGCTAAAGCAGGAAACCCAACTCTACTGAACCAGATCTACACAGATCTCTACATCATAGAGAGGGGGACTGGAGAGATCAATGAAGAGCATGAGATCAGACAGATTGAAACAACGTCCAGGAAACCACAGAAACCAGAAACAGCAATCAAACATCAAGACATCTTTAAACCCACTGGTGGAAAAGATCAACCAATCAGAACAGTGATGACAAAGGGAGTGGCAGGCATAGGGAAAACAGTCTTAACACAGAAGTTCACTCTGGACTGGGCTGAAGACAAAGCCAATCAGAACATCCATTTTATGTTTCCATTCACTTTCAGAGAGCTAAATGTGCTGAAGGATAAAAAGTTTAGCTTGGTTCAACTTATTCATCATTTCTTTACTGAAACAAAAGGGATTAGGTGGTTTGAAGAGTACCAAGTTGTTTTCATATTTGATGGTCTGGATGAGTGTCGCCTTCCTCTTGACTTCCACAACAAGGAGATCCTGACTGATGTTACAGAGTCCAGCTCAATTGATGTTCTGCTTACAAACCTCATCAGGGGGAAACTCCTTCCCTCAGCCCACCTCTGGATAACTACAAGACCTGCAGCAGCCAGTCAGATCCCTCCTGAGTTTGTTGGAATGGTAACAGAGGTCAGAGGGTTCACTGACCCACAGAAGGAGGAGTACTTCAGAAAGAGGTTCAGAGATAAGGAGCAGGCCAACAAGATTATCTCCCATATCAAGTTATCAAGAACCCTCCATATAATGTGCCACATCCCAGTCTTCTGCTGGATCACTGCTACTGTCCTGGAGGATGTGTTGAAAACCAGAGAGGTTGGACAGCTGCCCATGACCCTTACTGAGATGTACATTCACTTCTTGGTCGTTCAAACCAAGGCTAAGAAAGTCAAGTTTGATAGAGGAGTTGCAACAGATCCACACTGGACCCCAGAAACCAAGAAAATGGTTAAATCTCTGGGAAAACTGGCTTTTGATCAGCTGCAAAGAGGAAATCTGATCTTCTACGAATCTGACCTGAAGGAGTGTGGTATTGATATCCGAGCAGCTTCGGTGTACTCAGGAGTCTTCACACAGATGTTCAAAGAAGAAAGAGGGCTTTACCAGGACACTGTTTTCTCCTTTGTCCATCTCAGTGTTCAAGAGTTTCTGGCTGCTCTTCATGTTCATTTAACCTTCGTCAAATCTGGTGTAAACCTGATTGAGGAAAATCACAGCACTTTGGTTTGGTCTAAATTATTTAGCAAACCATCTCTAGAATTTCTCCACCAGAGTGCCATTGACAAGGCCTTACAGAGTCCAAATGGACATCTGGACTTGTTCCTCCGCTTCCTCCAGGGTCTATCTTTGCAGAGTAATCAGAAACTCCTAAAAGGTCTTCTGGCGCAGACAGGAAGTAATGGACTAACAAAATATGAAACTGCTGACTATATACGCAAGAAGATCAATGAGAATGTTTCTGCAGAGAAAAGTATCAATCTGTTCTACTGTTTGAATGAACTTAATGATCATTCGCTAGTGGAAGACATCCAACGTTCTCTGAGTTCAGGGAGTCTTTCCGCAGATAAACTCTCTCATGCTCAGTGGTCGGCTTTGGTCTTCATCTTACTGTCATCTGAAAAAGATCTGGATGTGTTTGACTTAAAGAAATACCACGCTTCTGAGGAGGTTCTTCAGAGAATGCTGCCGGTGGTCAGTGCCTCCAATAAAGCTTTGTAAGTATAGCTTTAAAGTAATATTTCAATAGAAGATCTATAACAGGACTAAACCCAGTCTATGAGCAGCCACCTGCATTTCAGTACAAATACTGAAGAACAACTGAAAGAAAAGAATTGGTGAAAAGAATTTTGTCAGAGCTTTTACTCTAGCCTTTTTAAAATCAATCTTAGACTTGGAAATGATTTCTAGGCCTTCCTGATAGTTAAAGAATTAAAGCAAAGTGCAAACATATGTTTTGCTTAGGAACACTACTGATGCAAGAAGATCAGATGTCCAGATTAATGTCCTTCATTTTATGGATGGTAATATGGCATAGGGGGTGTTGTTGTCCAGAGGCTTGCAAGGCTGGCAGCCTGGTCCTGAATCTGTTTTTTTTCTCTTAGTGATTTTGGCTGTCATTCAGATGTAGCCTCTAGAGGAGGTGGTGGTATTCCCCATACTGGTTCTGTCCCTGGGAATCTGGTAACCCCATAGACACCAACAGCTTTGTTGAACTTTCAAAAGTAAAAAACACTGCAGGTCACTTTGTAAATCCACGTCCTCTATGATTACGTGAAACCAAAGACAAACAGACAGGTGAACGCACCTTCAAGATACAACGGGCAGTTAGAGAGAGGGAGAGGAAGGCGGGCTTACAGAAGCCAATATTAACACACTAAAAAAAAAAAAGAAAATTGCAAGATTTGGTCCCAGAAGCTTTTTTGAAATAAAAGCGCTAAAGAGGTCTGAAAAGTCGGTAAAAATTGCCACAAAACCAATAAGTGGGCAATAGCTTTCATGTTTTTGTTGAAAGTTTATGATAAAACACATACCATATTCATAATACCCTATGGTAGATCAAACTCAATGGTTGATACACATTATGTAGAAGTAAGCATTAGAATGTGCTGAAAATTTTAAAATATAATCTAAACAAAGCATGATATAGAGATTTATTTAAAATTATCACTATAAGCATTCAGAATATATAGCTTTCAGATAAAGAATTTGCTCTTCTTGTGAACGTTGTCTGAAATGTTGAATTATTTGTTTACCTATAACATTGTTTTTTTTATTTCAGATTGAGTGGCTGTAATCTCTCAGAAAGAGGCTGTGAGGCTTTGTCTTCACTTATCAGCTCCCAGTCCTCCAGTCTCAGAGAATTGGACTTAAGTAACAATGACCTGAAAGATGCAGGAGTGAAGCTTCTCTCTGTTGGACTTAAAACCACTAGCTGTAAACTGGAAGTTTTAAGGTCAGGCCTTAGTGAGGATTTCTTCTCAATCTTAACCCATTTTGATTCATGTCTGTTGCAAATTTAAATATCGATGTACATTAAGTTATTCATTTTTATCAATCTCTTATCTCTACTCCAGTTGAGTGCATCAATATATTTTTATCAGCAAATATTATGGATTTTGTAAGATTTGCCTATCAATTATACATAATTGCATTTTTGTAGTCTTAAAACCATACGGAAAATTAAGTAAAGCATTGAATCGATTGTCATATATATTGTCTCGGCAGCCTCTCAGGCTGTTTGATCACAGAGGAAGGCTGTTCTTCTCTGGCCTCAGCGCTGAGCTCCAACAACTGCTGTCTCAAAATGCTAGACGTGAGCTACAATCATCCAGGAGACTCAGGTTTAAGGCAACTGTCAGCTGGACTGACAGATCCACATTGGCAACTTAATACTCTCAGGTAAGAGGAGACCTACAACAGCCATAATAGACAGAAATGAAGATCAAGTCAGATGTTTAGTCGCTTTTTTATCTCTTTTTCCTTAATGCTGGCAAAGGTTGCTCCACCACATAGGTTGCCCTTTTTTAAAGACACCTGTGTTTATTATAATGAGTAGTTTTTGTTTCCATGTAGTATCTAGAAGAAATTCTCATTCATTTGTCAGAATGAAACCAGTTTAACTATACTTCATTATCCTAAAAGTAACAGTTACTTAAAAAAAGCTTTTTGTTGTTTATCAGGGAAAAAAATTATTAACTATAACATACTCAAAGAAAAGAAAGATTCAACATGCGAGGTATAACCTATATTGACTCTATGATTTTACAAGGATTTTCATCATAATTAGATCATGTGATGAGCAAAGTAGTTTTAATGACCAGAGAAATAACAAGCAACTGTTATTTCCAGAACTTTTAAAATACATATGTAAAAGCATGATTTAAATTATTAACAATTAACTTGATTTAACTACAATACCTTAATCAGATCCCTGATAGTCTACTAGCAGTTTATAACAGTGGTGGAATAACCTCTGCTGCGATCCTAAAAATAAAGATTGGCTCAAAGACTGATTGCAGACCAATAATACAACACTTAACCAATAAACAATAATTTTGCTTTAAAAATTGGTTTACAATTGAAATAACCTATTAATATATAAAGCTAGATGTTCAGGTATTGTATATGTTTGCATGATGTAACAGACAAATGCTCTGCCCTTTCTGCAGGCTGGAACCTGCTGGAGCCCAGTGGTTAACACCAGGTCTAAGGAAATGTGAGTATATTTTACATTAAGAGCAGCACTGTCTTTGTTCTCGTAACACATGGTCACCATCTTCACATTCTTCTTCATCTCATTCTTGATCCATCTTATCCTGCGGAAAAAGTGAAAAATCAATCATTCAGCTTGTGTTTGTTCTTTCCAAAAGATTCCTGTCAACTTACAATCGATACAAACACTGTTAATGAAGAACTTCAACTCTCGGAGAACAACAAGACGGTGATCCATGAGCAGAGGGAGCATCAGTATCCTGGCCATCAAGAGAGTTTTGGGTGTTGCTGGCCTCAATTTCTGTGTAGAGATGGTCTGAAAGGTCGTTGTTACTGGGAGGTTAAATGGAGTGGAGTTGTATTTGTATCAGTAAGTTATAGAGGAACAGAAAGGAAAGAAAACATTGAACAATCTGCTTTTGGATGGAATGATCAGTCCTGGAGTCTGGAATGTTCTACTCGTCAAGGTTACTCTGTCTGGCACAACAACAGAAGGACAAGCATCTCATCCTTATCTCCCCACTCTTTACTATCCTTCATGAGCTCCTCTTTCTCTGTCTCCAAGAAGGTAGCAGTGTATGTGGACTGTGATGCTGGCATTCTGTCCTTCTACAGAGTAATATCTGGTAAACTTATCCACCTCCACACTTTCAACACCACATTTGAGGAACCTCTGTATCCAGGATTTGCAGTCTGGCCTGATTCCTCTGTGAGTCTTCAGTAAGAATAAAAAGGATCACACCAGCAAACATATTTGGTCTTAAACATTGTTTATTTTTTTAATTTTCAGATGAATAGATTTAATCACTACACTTTAAACTGTTCAATGATTCTTTGCACCCCCCCCCCCCCCCTTTTTTAGTCCTTTATCAGACAAATTGTGATTATTCTTTGGTTCATATCAAACCATTCCATCTGTTTCAGTCAAAGCTTTGCAGTGAGAATGTAAGGATTAAACGAGGAGCTCAGCATCAATGCTTGCATTAATTACATTGTAATTTCATATTCAATAAAATTTCAAAATTTTACATCAAGACTGAATTACAAGTAAAGTAGTTTTATACAAGTAATAACAGCACTTCTAGTACAACAGTCTGCCAACAGTAGGCCTATCCAACACACTATTGTATGTAAGATTGATGATAGACATATAAATGTGCTAATGAACATATTCTGTTGTGGCTATGGTATGTATTTTTTATTGAAAGAGTACAAAATGAAAACTCTTAACGTTCTTCAAAGAAATGTAATATGCTATGTAACTAAATAATTTTTAATGTGTAAAACTTTTCCAAACTTCAATTAAAATAAAACAAACTACATATAAATGTGTTTACATCACCATCTTAAATTCTTGATAACTGTTTTTGAGCAAAAAAAGAAAAAGTCTTTGTAAAAAAGTTGCTTGGGTCATGGCAACCACAAATGGGCAGAATGGGGGTCCCTGGGTCTAGGGGATCTGGGAGGTACTCGAAGTGGCCTACAGTGTATGTTGTTCTGGTGGCTGCTCTCGGTATGGCAATAAATGACAGGGAGCTCAAGTTGGCATCAGTTGTTTTTCTATAATTCTTCATCTGCATTTTACATAATGGACATCCAGATAAGGTCAGCCTCTGGCATAAAACAAGCTCCTCATCAGTGATCCTCACAGTTCTGAAAAATAACCAAAAAAAAATAAAACCAAAAAAAGAAATGAAAAATACAAGGAACCAAAAAGGGCCTTTTCTTAAAAGAAAAGAAATAAGTAAATAAAAAGCCCCGGAAAAAAAAAATAAAAAACTGACATTTTATTTGCTGGATGCCATTTTTATATTTTAGTTTATAGAAACTTGCATCTTGTAACAATGCAAAAACGTAAATGAACCATATCTTTATATAAAACTGTTAATATAAAACTCAGTCTTATGTTAACCATCTGCTACAAGAGATTTGGTAAAACATACCTGCATTTCACATAATGGGAATCGAAATAAGGTCAGTCTCTGGCATAAAACAAGCTCCTGCAAGGAGGAGCCATAGCGTTACTCCGTGGGAAAATCCCACCACACTAAAATGCGACAAAAAACGATACAATAACAGGACTAGCATAACCTGGATTAAATATATTTCAGTACTTTGCAAATACGAAAACCATAAACATATTTTATAGAATGCATAAATAATACTGGGTCATCTGGTAATCCCGGAACCAATCACTGGCGCTGCAGGGTCCTCGGTCCTGGGATTATCCGAGTGAGTGAGTGTGATGTGTGAATGTGCATACGCATTTTATTTTTTATTTTTTTAAGAAGAGGCTGTGTGTTTCGAGCGGGGGCACTTGGGTGGGAAGGCGTGATTGAGACTGTGTATGTTTTTTTTTACTTGTCAGGTTTGGGTCTGAACTGCTCCCTCTCCTAAGAACATCTCAAGTCTCTGCTAAGTGTGGAGCCCATTCCGCCCATCCTACCCCCCTCTGCTAGTTGAAGCTTTGGCATTGGGCTTGCTCGGTGTTTGGAGGTGGATGCCTGGGCGGTTGCTGGCTTATTTCTGGCAGCTGATTTCTGGGCCCTGGCCCCCTCGGGTCCCCGGGGCCCATGGCCGGTTCCACTTCAGAGTGACTGGCTGCCAGCGGAGCCCGTGGGCTGTGGCATCACTCTTGGTATTCTCTTGATGAGCTTCAAAAGGTAGTCACCTGAAATGGTCTTCCAACAGTCTGGCAGGAGTTCCCAAAGGTGCTTAGCACTTGTTGGCCCAAACCATCTCAACTGGGTTCAGGTCCGGTCATTTTGGAGGCCAGGTCATCTGGTGCTGCACCCTATCACTCTCCTTCTTGGTCAAATAGCCCTTACACAGCCTGGAGGTGTGTTTTGGGTCATTGTCCTGTTAAAAAATAAATGATCATCCAACTTAACGCAAACAGGATGGAATAGCAAGATGCTGTGGTAGCCATGCTAGTTCAGTAAACCTTCAGTTTTGAATAAATCCCCAGCAGTGTCACCAGCAAAGCACCCAACACCATCACACCTCCTCCTCCATGCTTCATGGTGGGAACCAGGCATGTAGAGTCCATCCGTTCACCTTTTCTGTGTCGCACAAAGACACAATGGTTGGAACCAATGTTGTGCAACATGATATCCTGCAGATAATGAATAAATGATTAATTAGAACTGGAGTTGTAGTTAAGTATTTAACTTATTTAAAATCGGAGGTCTAATCAATTTAGTGTTCTTAGTTGAATAATTGTAGCTCTAATTTGCTTACTTACCAGGTTTTGTGCCTGTCACCTCTGGATGGTTCCTGGACCGGCTTTTAAAATCCAGATATTCCCACCAATTTAGTGACCTAGGCTAGGTTATCAGCAGAGCTATTAATTAGCAATCAAAGAACTATTTATCTCTGTTTATTCAAACTATTACCAAAAGAGGGTGGATCTGGCCAGAGTGATAAACCATTCTCACAAAGAACTGCAAGTTAAACACCGATGTCTTTATTCTAATTATTCAGGATTACAGAAATCTAACATCTATGCAAAACATTACACGCTATTAGAGAATAAACACGAGGTAGACTAAATGACTAGTTTTGAAAGAAAAAGAATAAAACCCTAAGAGTCCGTTTAACTGGCTTCTGAGATTGTCCAAGATAGGCCAGATGTTAATACATTCAATAATGTCCGTTGGAATAGCAGCAGGTATGATAATAACAAATGTGCCATTAACACAATGTAAAATACATTTAGTTTAAATGATCCAGTCCGTTCTTGGCAAAATTTTAGATCAGTCTGATGCTACAGCAGAGGAACTTGATGGGCTTTTAAAGATCGAGGAAGGCTACTTACACACTACCGAAAGCAGGAGCGTCCCCCTGCAGATAGGCCGTGATTGGTATGGAGGTCTACACAAAGGGGGGGAAATCCACACAGCGTTTAGCTCCGGATTTCCCCGTCTCACCCAGTTCAGCAGGCGCTATGCATGATGGGTCACTGCGATCCGTGACTTTTGACGCAGGAAAACGAAATTGACTTCCAGCTAGCTTTCTTTAGCATTTCACGTGAAACGGGCCTCTCCTTGCAGGCGGTGAAACCCAAGAAAAGAGGTCGATTCGGTCTCACTCTCTGGATTTAAACCTTGAATGACTTGGGGGTAATTCCTGTTGGGATTCCAGCCTTCTTGTCAGCTGATTGGTCCATGTGTGAGCGGACTGTCCCCTTGGCTGGACGTTTCCAGAACCAGTCTTTTGTTCTCTTTGTAAAAAGTGAAGGGGAGGGTTTGATGTTGTTCATCAAATTGATTTGGTTCTGTTGTGGCAATATATACCAACAACAAACAACTCAAATTTGGACCCAATCGACTGAAGCACAGATTTCCACGGGTCTAAAGTCCATTCCCTTGTGTTCTTTAGCCCAAGTAAGTTTTTTCTGCTTGTTGCAGCTATTTTACCATGAAGGCCTGATTCACACAGTCTCCTCCCAGTTGTTCTGGAGATGTGTCTGCTGCTAGAACTCTGTGTGGCATTGACACACAGGTCTCTAATCTGAGCTGCTGTTAACGTGCGATTTCTGAGGCTGGTGACTTGAATGAACTTGTCCTTTGCAGCAGAGGTGACTCTTGGTCTTCCTTTCCTGGGGTGATCCTCATGTGAGACAGTTTCTTTGTAGCGCTCAACGGTTTTTGCGGCTGCACTTGGGGACACTTTCAAAGTTTTGCCAATTTTTCGCACTGTCTGACCTTGATTTCTCAAAGTAATTTTAGCCACTCTTGTTATCTTTATTTAGCTGCTTTTTTTCTTGCCATAATACAAATTCTAACAGTCTATTCAGTAGGACTATCAGCTCTATATCCACCTGACTTCTGCACAACACAACTGATGGACCCAACCCCATTTATAAGGCAAGAAATCCTACTTATTAAACCTGACAGGGACAACTGTGAAGCAAAAACCTTTCCAGAAAACAACCCCGAAAAGCACAAAAAGAAAACCAAAAATGTGCGAAAAACAAAAAAAAAAAAAAAAGGGCGACACTGAAAAAAAAACAAAAAAAAACACATTCACAGGTGTCACACACTTTCACCAAGAAAATATAGTTCCACATGTGGTAATTCATAGTTCTGATGCCTTCAGTGTGAATCTAAAATTGTTATAGTCATGAAAATAAAGAAAACTCTTTGAATGAGAAGGTGTGTCAAAACTTTTGGTCTGTTCTGTACTTGTACTACATACAACAATAGAAATCAGTCAAAAACAGATGATTGCAGGACAGAGTTTTTATTTTAACCTAATCAAAAACATGATAAATACATAACAGAGAAAAATAACACCTTCTGCTGTTACAGTGACTGTAAACCAGACTAAAAATAGCTAAAACTTCATCTTATGTTAAACCTTGTTGCACAAGGTTTTCATATGATTGACATTTTGCTGCCCTGAACCGAATAAAGCTGAGCTCCTTCACCCTGGATGTGATGGTACTGAAGCCTTTATAGCCCCCTAAGCATGACCACCTGTGGCCAGGTGAGTTTTGATGGGCGTGGCCATGCTGACAGAGTTACCATGCTGAAAAACCGTAAGCTGGATAAGGTTGGTAGTAGAGTAAACCGTAAAAGGCTGCAGGAAGTCCGTGCAGAGTAAAGATAAGGTTCTCCAGCTGGACCTTGGATTATTTATTCAAAGCTGCTGTAAGACCCCCATCCCTGCTCTGGTTCTTATGTAGGAGGAGGCCCATCGTAGCGCAGCATGACGCTGAAGGATCGGGCAAAGTTGTTGGATAGCGAGCAACTGTTTCCGTCGTCCATGAGCGGCAGCAGGAAGGCGAGGAGCAGCAGAGCGAGGAAGAGGAGCCACAAAAGAAATGCCAAACGACAAATCCTCCACAGCAGCCAGGGTTTCTGAGAACAGAAAGATGAAAAGAACAACTAAACATAAAGCAGCAAATATCCAAATGGTTGAACGTTTGCTTCTTTACAGCATTTTTTTTATTTTTTATCATGTGTCCAGTTTTTAAAGTAATGGTGTTACTGATAAATTACCTTTTCTGTTCTTGTTTCAGAGACTGCCCCATTCACACCCTCTTGATCTCTCTGCTGAAAGACAGAGCATCAGGTATTAGTTTATTCAATACATATACATAACCTGCTAATAAAACCTCCCTGCAGCATCTGCAGAAATAAGGCTGCACTGCCTCCTACTGGTTGCTCAAAGACAGTGCACTAAAAGCTGAAGCTAACTCTAAACATGACTGATTTGGATCCAATTGTCTTCTGAAACTCCTTCAGATTCTGACATTTATGGTAAACTAGAGCTATATAAATTAGAAGAGCTATAGAAATATTTAATCGCAGAGACCTACCATCACAAGGTAGGTCTCTGCCTCCCTCAGCTTGGATTTATAGAGCATCCAACGATATCGAAGGTCCTCCAGAGTTTCATCTTCACTCTTAGTGCTTAGAGTCTGATCGAGCAGCAGCTGAAACATCTGCTCACCCTCAGGCAGTCTGGATCTCAGAGCCTAAAGCAGAACACGAGAGTTATTTACCAACTATTAATTACTACCACATAATTAACATTTTAAGAACCTTATGACAATAAATTTATAAGATCATTTATATGCATTATTAAGTTATTATTGTGTAAAAGGAGCATTGCAAAAGTTTAATTTTTAAACATGTATTCTCATATTTAACATAGAGGCCCTTTATAATTGCAGATATGCAAAATAAGCTATTTATCACAGTTACCCTATTACTCAGGTCATGAGAGGGATTCGGTCAGATTATCTAGGAACGTAGATGTTACACTCTGCAGGGTTAGGTCCAAATGACTACTTTAACAGTCTCTGCAGCCGTTGATGCATTGGCAAGGGAACACATTTTGTAGATGGATCACAACAGGCTTAAAGTAAACCTCAAACTCCATCACAGACTCCGCACAACAGTGAGAATAAAAAAGTGTGTGCTTATTGCGGTGAAAAGGGGGCAGTCTGGAGTCTGATCAGCGACAGAATAAAAGAAAAGGAAATATTGGGTCATTTTTTAACAAATGGAGGATGATTCTGTCTACCCTGGGAATAAAAAGCGACCTGCAGTTGACCCTCCTTTTGCTAAAATCAAAGTCAATCAAAATAACTTCAATTTTAGTAACCTATTTAATCCAAAATACATTACACCTCTTGATAAAACCTGTGGAGTTGCAGTGGCAGACTGCAGTGCCTCTCATCTTCTCCAGAGCACACCCACAACACTGGTGTTGTTTTAACTTGTCACCAGAAGGGGGCAATCATCTACAAACACTGGGACGTGCACTATGCTACTTGAATATACTACTTACATGTCGACATGTATTAACATGGTAACGTATAAACAATTAGAATAAAAGTATTAAGAATACCAATACATGAATAACACGTTATTACACTGTTATTAACTGGTTGACATAATACATTCAAATTATTCTAAAAACAAAATTTTTTTCATAGAATATATTTTAGAACTAAAAGCCATTCTATCAACATAACACCTTAAAAAGATTTCATCATCTGTTTATCACTATAAATTATATTTTACTTATTTTTTGCACCTAATTTTCCAATCAAATTGATTTCCTGCTCCTTGAAGACATGCTTCATTTGGACCCGTTACCTGCAGGGCTCCCCGTCTGGTTTGCACCTCCTCCGCAGTAAAGGCCCTCTTGTTGGTTCCGATTATCTTCATCAGAACTTCGTTCTCCCTGCTCAACCAGGCCTCAAACTGACTCCAGTCGATTTCGATGGATCCTTTGCTGCCCTGATTAGACAAAAAACAACCTTGGTCGGAACTAGAACCATTACTTCATGCCTTGCTATCAGTGCGGGCCCTTATTGAGCATGTTGTAGAGACAAAATGTCCAAACAGATATTGAAACTTCAGTAATAAAACCATAATAGGTTAAATGACCCAGGGATCAGACCCAGTTGGATTCATTTCCTTTTTAACGTCATCTAAAATAATAAGCTGGTCTAAATGTGACCCTGTGACACTACATTTCCCATGAGCACAGTGTTTGCTCATTAGTTCGTTTGTGACTGATGTCACTTCAGAAAGGCGGTCTCTGTGGAGATCAAAGCTGATAAGCTGTCGGGGCAGATTCAAACCAACACGCCATTGCTATCTTAGTGACTTTATCACTATATTTAACTTTTTTTTTAAGTTACTAGTGACAATTCTGGTGATTTTTTTTATGTTATTGGAGACTTTAGTGACAGCACATGATAGCACTGTTTGCACTGAGAGCCCCTCCCTCTCCTGCAGTACTGACAGAGACTCAATCGCAGCTCTGCAGCCAATCCCTGCAGGCAGAGAGAGAAGAGCTTCTTTATTTCTCTAATTGAAAATGAGTGACGAATGCAGAAAGCTTCCACTAAACCAATTTAAATTAAAAAAGGTAAGATGTTAAAGTAATGTTTATCTTTGAAACAGTTGCATTAATGAAGCCCCTTAGTCTGCATCCAATTGATGCACAGCTTCACCCACTGATTGATTCTGCTGTTTTACGTTGAATTTGATAATATAAGATTGATTTATGTAGCTCTGGTTGAGGAAAAATATTATTGAAGGCTTTAAATGACCCTATAGAGTTCATCTTCACTTTTAAACGTATTTAAAGTGTTTTGCATTGCTTTGTACACAGCATATCTTGAAAGAGGCATCACATAAAAAAGCTTGCAACTTTGGAAAAACACTAACCATAGTGGCCACCGGGTAAAAAAGTTAAATACGAACCCTTGTTGGCTAACCTGTATATTCAGAAGGTGTTTCTGATCAGACACACATCATTGCTAGTGTTTCTCTGTTCTAATATTTTGGGTCTTTTTTGAGAATATTTATTTGTAAATGTCCTAAAAAATAAAAAAAAGGACAAAGAATACGTGATGGGTTTGCAGGTTATTCCAGCGTTCCTTGAGCCGCTCCATGTCCTTCAGGATGTGGACCTGCCCATCCTTTGATGTTCTCCTTAGAACATTCTCACTCTGAGCCTCTATCTGTTGCAACTGCAGCTCCTTCTCAGTAAACTCTCCTAGAAGTCTCTGAGGAAAAAACACAGAACATTGAGATAGATTAGAAATCAGGTTT